TAGAGGTCTGGCCAACAGCGGAGAGGAATGTAAAGTATTTGTGGCCATTATTGAGTGTCCTGTTCCAGGTATGAACAGATGCTATCAGTCAGATTAATGCAGAGTCGGGTTTCTGCAGCAACTGAGGGGAATCTATTTGAGCTGTTGTCTGTATCAAACAGGTGGAAAACAAGGAACAATCGCTGCCTGTTCTCTGCTGGATTGCCACTTAATACAGTGACTCTGCATGTAGAGCAGCACAAACTATCCACCGCTCGCCTCTTATCTACACCTTCTAGAGCTGCAACCATTAGTCAATTAATTCATTAGTTGACAATCAAAAAGTCGACAACTATTAATAATTTTTTTCTTTTTTTTTTTTAAATATCAAATTCTCTGCAGTTTCTTAAATGTAAATATTTCCTGCTTTCTTCAGTCCATTATGACAGTAAATTGAATATTCTTATGGACAAAAAAAACAAGACATTTAAAGACATGATATCAGATAAACAGTGATCAACAGTGTCTGTCTACATAGTCATACTATTTATACTAGAGCAGTGTATTGGGAAGAACCTGGTGATATGATACATATCACGATACAGGGGTTACTATTCAATGAATTGTGATATATTGTGGTACTGTAAGCAAGGCGAAAAAATAAAATCATAGTGTAGTCATAGTATTAAGAACACACCACCATACGCATAAAATCTGAGTTTATTATGCCAGCAGACTAGTTAGAACTGCATTTGTAGTAGGGCTGGGTATTAAGAACCTCATGATTCGATTTTGATTCTTTAGGTCACAATTTGATATCAATTTGATTCAATATTTATTTAAATGCTTCGATATCGATTCAGTAATAAGTAGAATTACACAAATAATTCATTAGAGTACCTGTTGATAATTTTAAAAGCTTCGGGACGGCGACTTCCGTCATGTGTTTGTGTGTTGGTATGGCGTATCGTGGTTTGAGTGTGTATACCATCTTCTTAAAACCCCCGTTTTCCACGACATATGAAGACAGCCACAGACTCGGGTTGCTGCAGAGCATCTGCATGGTGTCGGCTTAAGTGGTTGCGCAAATTTGTTGTGTTATTGCAGTAGTATTTTTAGTACTGCTGGCAAGCTTACACACTACCTACTTTGTCTTTCCTGTGTTCGGGTTTACCTGAATGAATCAAAGGTCTGCTTTTAAAGTTGAAGGCGTGTTTAACACTGCTGTACCTGCTTCGTTGCCACGTTGTTGTTGTGTGGTCGAGTGCGGCTTCGTCGACAACACACCCACACCACACACACACACACACACACACGACACCCACACCCACACAACACACCACACATCACACCCCACACACACACCACACACCACACACAAACACAACACACACACACACACAACACACAACACACCACACACACACAACACGTTTGCTCACTGGCATTCGATTCGAATCGGGGCTTGAATCGATTCAGAGGATTTAATGAATCGATATTGAATTGGGAAAAAATATATTGCAATGCACTGATGAATCGATATTTTTACCCACCCCTAATTTGTATTCATCACAGTCGCTCTAACATCCAACATCACAGAGTTTACTTTTACAACACTGCTGTCTAGCTGTTGGGGGTCTAACCACAAAAACTGATAGATACAATATCACAAAATAAAATATTGTGATGCTATATTTTCTTACACCCCTAATTAATATTGCTATTAGACCACCTGCGTTATTTAAAAATTCATTAGAGCCTATGCCACTAATGAACTCATTTTTTAAGCTTTAAAATCCTATTTATTTTAGTGTTAGTGTAATGCTTAATTTGCAGTGTGTGTGTGTGTGTGACCTGTTAGTGGAGCTTAATAAGGGTTAATGAGTAAAGTCTTAGAGATTCTTCAGCATTTTACTTACAGCTGGAGTCCACAGTAGCTGCTACAGCAACATGTAAGCCCACACTGCCACAGCCCCTGAGCAAGGCACCGATACTGCCAGAGTTAGAGGTTCAATGCCTCTGTGGATGATGTTCTCTAGATTTTCCTTTGCCTTTCTTTATGACTTTTCTTACCTTAGTCACCATGATAAATGACGCCTTCATGTTCAGAGTGAAATCATGCAGTCCTCCTCTAACAACAAACACGTGCACACACTAACATCAACCCCGACGTAGTCAAATTGCATTTGACTCTTAATTTGCCCATGTTTGTACTAAAGTACATATAAAAGTGATGACTGAAACTCAGGCCTCAGACCAAAAGCGTCTGAGAACTTGGTCTCTTTTTGGATCTCGTCCTCTACTCAAAGAAAATTGCCATCTTCCATCTGCCTGAATCCATGTGAATGCAGCATTAGCCTGTCTCCATGTTTGTTACACAAGTTCAGTTATTAAGCTTAGAAGACCATTTCAGGATATACAGTTAGCTAGAGTTAGCCAAAATCTTGCCTCAGTTGCTAGCTAGGCCTTCAGGTCAAATAACCCAGTTTCCTGGTAGACCAATCTGGCATTTAGCTAAGATTAGCCATGAAAGCATTTCATGTTATCCTGCTGTAGAACCATGGCTAATTTAAGAACCCATCATTAATAGAAACTGAGCTTCTTTAACATAAGAGCGAGCAATCTGACAATTTCTGTTCGAGATCGTGATCTAAGGTGGATACCTTAGATCAATCTATTTTTCGTGCAAATCATAGAGACCGCGGTATTTAATGTCCTCTTACTTACGTTTCCAAACTTCACATAACATCTGGCTATTGTCTACAAGGCATTTCAAAATTAAGAAAAAAAGATTGCAGTTTGGATCATCAGCAACACTTTCAGGACACATACTGATATGCAACCAGAAAGCTTCAGCCCCAAACAGACCCAGAATCTGAGCCTGATAGAAAGTGTGTGTGGAAGATGAGAAGCAGCTGCCACGATGTCTTTGTCTCAACTTAACCTCAAATCCATTTGCCTCTCAAGTCACAATTCAAATTCTCAGTCCCTGGTCTCAAGGTCAACTATTTCCATAAGGAGACACATTTCCATAACCAAAGGACTCAGATTTGCTTCGCCTGCAGAACAGCATCTCCATTACCTGTTTATGGAAAAACATCTGGGCTGCTTGGACACATGCGTCCAGGAGCTGCTATTGTTTTCAGACACAACATCAGCTGAAACCGGGTATGTAGGTGGGGTTCACAAGCTGCCTACAGGCTTCTGTTTCCTGACACATTAACTTGATTCCTTGTAACTACATGAAGTAACACTGCACTCCAACACTTTTACTAGCAGAAGATTGATCTCCCTTAGACGATGAGGTGACAAGAAGACAGCTGCTGTTGTCAGTTGATTCATGTCAGCTGAAAAAGACGAATGGTGACACGTTCTCACAGTAGCAAAAAGTACAGGAGCAGCCTCACAGACTTCTCAACCTTATGGTGTTGGGCAGAATGTCACTTTAATATTATTGTACAAGAATAGAGGGACATGAAGGAAAATATATAGAATTATTAAATGGCTTTAAATGGCTTGTGACAAAGCAATGCATTCCAGGTGTATAGTAAATATCTACCAGTTGTTACCGGTTTTAACAACTTAGACTTTTTTCTTTGTTAAATTTGGATAATCTTTAGAGTCCTGAGGAGGTTAAGTAATCCAGTAAATGACATTAAAAAACAGCATAAAAGCCCCACCACTTTGGGAACCACTGGGCTACAGTACAGCTGCAGATTAAATGATTGCGTGAGGGTCAAGTATAGAACGTGAGGGTATATTTTTACATAGATTGTGCAGTTTGTTGCCAAATTTAAGTATTCTGGTGAGTCAAGTTTCATGAGGATAAGGTTTATATTCTGAAGGATATGGGTCAGAAGTTGTTGCTGCTGGCAGAACAAAGGTTATGCGAGACGATGCACAGACAGGTCTCTTTTTCCACACACCCATTCAGATGTTCAGAGAAAACTGAGGCAAGCGTTTCCTAAAATCTAACTAACAAGATACATAATACAGGTGTTTTGGTGAGGTTTTGTCTTGTTGTTTTTTTTACAATATTTTTTACCTGAGTCATCATGATAAACAGGCTTTGATTATGCAATCAGACAGCAGTAAGAAATACATTATTTATTTGTGTGTGGGGGTGGGGGCCAGAGCTAACTAACCAAAACCTGCACTGAAACCTCCCTAAAAACTAAAAAGGTTCTAGTTTTGCTGAACCTGTTTTAGAGAGGTGTTGATTCAACTGTATGGTCATTTTAGAGGACAGAGTAGTTTGTGCAGCTGTTGGACTGTATTGACTGAGAGTGTTCCTGATAGTTTGTCTACCCTCGTTGAGCTTAATGGGATGGCCAAAATACAAAAAACTAAAATAGTTTGTGTGGTGGTTCATCATATCTTTTCTGTTGATTTCCAACAACATGTTTATAATACTGTAAACAAAGAAAACCTAGCCTTGATCATTTCAAGAAATCATGTTAAGTCAAAATGGGGAGATAGAAAGTCCAAATTTCGATTTAAATTATCAAAACGATCTTAATTTCTACATTTTATCTCTTAGTTTTCACTCATGATTTTTATTTACGTTTTTTTTTTTTTATTGTCAAGGCTAAGTTTTTAGTGTATTGTATTTTTATTTTACTGGCGGAAATGGGCTTCCATACTGTAACACTAAAAAGCGACTATGCCCTTTTTTTTAGCCGTTTTAAGGGCTGTGATAGGCGTGCATTGGAAGTCCTTCCGAACTTTTTGACTACACTGGTCAAAAAGTACAAAACAGAGTCAAAGCCCGTACACTAGGATGGTAAAATGAGCTACTGCAACATCAAAACAAGCCAATGAAGTGGCTAATATAAAACTAATATTTCGCCCCCACAGAGAAACTCCGAACACCGAGGTGTCTTCACGGAGGAAAGGTGAGTTGAGAAGCAGCCGCCCAGGTGAAACACTCGTCTACTCTCGGCGTATTTTAAACACTTTAAAGCCTAAAAAACTCAAAGCAAAACACACAAACACACTCAGGTAAAGGTAACTGGACTTACTCCGTATCCTCTGCAGATTGAAACTAAAGGTGAATCCTGTTCTCAGTCGGTGTCTGTGGCTTTTAGTCACCGCACCATGTTTTCCTCTGCTTCCTGCTTATGGAGAGCTCCGGTGGCTGCCCGCCCTTCTTCCCCCGCTGCCTCTCACCTGCTCTGCCCCCAAAAACCTGCCGGGCCGGTCCGACACGTCGAACGCTTTAAAACAACAACAAATAAATAGCTGGTTAAAAACAACGCGCATGGCATTCAGGGAGCGCTGCGGAAGTAGGCGCGCGCGTTGGTGCTCTGGTCACGTGACGCGCAGGTAAAGGTGCGTAATTGAAGCCTTGATTAAACCAGGTGGTGTTTAAAGGGTGAACTGCCTGCCTGCTGTTGCTGTCCAAAACGGCCATGTTTGTGGTTTTTATTTGAATATTTGTGCGGGTTTTTTTTTTTGTCATTTGAGAAGAGCCTGGACGTGAATAAACAGTATAATGCAAATATGTAACTCAATCCCTTTATTTTAAACCGTAATCTTTTAATAAGAATTATAATTTAAGGATGTAAAACAAGTGAATTTCAGTTCCTTAGAAATCCAACAGATCAAGATGTGTTGCCTATATTAGTATCAATTAACGTCAGGACATTTGTGAACACTTGAAACATTCAATGAATATTTAAAAAGATAGCACTATGATTATGAAGACATAAGCATTAAAGAGAGGTGATAAGACATGATTATGGTATTCTTTTTGAAGTTATTTTTTATTTTCTTGGCCTTTTATTGCCTTTATTTGACAGTGACAGCTGGAGATAAACAGGAAAGGGGGGCAGAGAGAGGGGATGACACGCAGCGAAGGGCCACAGGTCGGATTCGAACAGGAGATATGTGGCTGCTCATAGAACCAATTTTCCGATGTACTGAGGTCAGAGGTCAAGGGATCTCTTTGAAAATGACCTTGCCAGTTTTTCTATCAACAGTTTTGGATAATTTTGGATTGTTATTTACCCCCCTTACCAACTGATTAGTACCAATGGATGCATGAGGGCATTTATTTTCATATAATACTAGTATCTTCGCTCTAGCTTTAAAACAGAGCCCAAGCCAGGTTAAAGAGACAAATGGTCGCTGGAAAGCTTACATTACAGCTAATGTTGATAGCCAAGAGATAGCTAGCATCAGTGAAGAAGCCACCACCACCTATGTGTGCAAGAAGACACTCGCATGCATTCATATGAGTAAATCATAAGGATGACCCATTCACTGGACCTTTCAGGGACCCAGTCATTTCTGTGGGCGGTCCTGGATACTAGAAATATAAAAAGCCACTTTATAAATACGATGTGAAGAGAATAACATAAAAAAGCAGCTGCAGTGCAGTGAGAGATATGAGTAAATGGTACCAAATGTAATTTAATAAAAGGCAATAACTTACTTTTAGTTGTAATAAAAGGCGTCCCATTTGAATTTGGAGATATGCATGTGTGTTTTTTCTGGTTGGTAGATTACAGATATGTTTTTTGTTTTTTTCACTGTCATTCTGTCCTGTCTAGAGTGCAGACAGGAATGATGTTTATGCTCTGTTGTGTTAGCATAATGCTTATAGGAGGAAAACATTGTAAGAAGTAATTTGATGCAGTCTCATTCCAGCTTTCTCCTTGCTTTTCACTTCTGATGGAGTTTATTATATTTGTTGACCTGCAGTGCCCCCTAAGGCGAATCCTTCGTGAAACACCTTGAAGTTTTTATGGGGAGGTTGAAAAGCATTCAGTGTCAGCTTGTTTATATTGTATTCATAGGTCAATAAGCAGCAAAACATGCACCTCAATTCCTTAAGAAAATAATAGATGTTTTTGTTTTTTAACAATTAGTTCAAATACAATACAGGAGCTCACAGAATTTGATTTGATTTGATTCTTTAGTTTTATTTAAGGTACCAGTGTGTAGGATTTAGTGGCATCTAGTGGTGTAATTGTAGATCGCAACTGCGATCACCCTTCAACCTATGATTTACAGCTTCTGCATGACGTCTATGACTGTAAAAACATGTGGCACACTGTGTCTGCCTGATGATAATGTAAAAGCATTGTATAATTAATAGTAAGTTATTTACTTTTTTTTTATTACTTTCTCAAGTGTTGTGATAATGGCACAAAAACTTAACACTTCTGCATGTCTTTTTAAAGCTAATAAAGAAACAATCTGTCCAACACACTGGTTCACACTTTGATTGTGAATCTCATTATTCTGTAATAACTCTGTGAAAAAAATGCCTGCGTATGCAGTGTGTGTGTCACAGAACCTGTTGCCTTTCATTTTGGCACCCATGTTAACAGGTCAAGGTCTTCCCTGTTTTTTCTGCTTGATGCACACGGTTCCCAGCAAAAAGAGGCAGTGAAAAGGATCTGACATCTGTAGAAAATGTCACAGACATCAAAAAAATATAAATCAATTAAATCAACATCTCCTCTATCTGTTTCAGATTAAGATTGGTTAACAAGGCTTTCATTGTAGTGTATTAATCAAAGGGAAACTGGCAGCAGCAGAAACGCTCTCTGTGTAGACCCCGCAGGTTTGCGAGCTGAAGCAGTCCAGTGTTCATCTATTGCTTTAATGTAAATGTCACAATAAGCTTCTAACTTGTAAACACTCACAGGAGACAGGTGTGCTAATAGAGGAGCAAGTAAGATTCCTCATGTGGGATCAAACGCAGCCAAACTTTATCCAAACCCACAGAACTTCCAAAGACATCTGGGGCCAGATGTATAGAACATGCATACACACGAAAACTGTACTTACACCACTTTTCACGCAGGTTTCCAAATGTATAAAAATCCAAATAACACGTTTTCTTTTGTCAAGTTGATCCACCATTACCTACAGGGCATATTCCGTGAAATTGCACTTGTTCTTCTTCATTTGCTACTTCGATGCTTAATATATCTCGTAAAAAAAAAGCTGATCCTTCATGTGCTATAGGCATAGGCAATTCGGAGTGTGTTTCAAGCCATTACTACTGAATTGTGGGAATGGTCAAAAGGCTTGTGCAGGTGCATAACATTTCATGATGATTGAGATGTATGCGGCAACATTACTTGGAAACAGACGTAAGTGAGGTTTTACTAATCTGATGTAAAGACTGTATGCATGTTTCCTGTTTTGTGTGAACACAGATTTATACATGTATTTCTACATTTATAAATATACACAGAGTTTTATGCATCTGGCCCCTGGGCTTTCCTTTCTGTGATGTAGTTAGCCTGATACCTATGAAAGAATAAGAGGTGAGATGGAATGTTGACATTTAAATGTGATGGAATGTTGACATCCAATCTTGATGTCATAGTGGGATGCAATCATAAGGTCAAATTATGATTTCACAATGGAATGTCATCATTCCAAGCAGCTGTGAATTTTAAACATTGAAATTTTGACATCACAATAGGTACTGAACATTGTACTCCATTGTGAAATGACAAATTGAACTGACCTTTGTATTATATATATTCCTTTCCGTTGTGAAATCACAATTGGAATCAATCATTGTATTCCATTCTGGCCTCACATTTGAATGTCAACAATCCAGTTCAATATGACATCACCTGACGATTGCATCCCACTATGACATCAAAAATGAATGTCAAAATTCCAATCCATTGTGACATCATCTTTGGATGTAAACATTCCATTTCATTATGACAT